AGGAGAGCCTTCGCGTCCCGTATTACGTCACAGACTACACCCGGCTATACCAGGAAGATTCAATGAATACAGAATATGTGGTCTTTGTAGAGTCAGCAGATACTCAGAGACCCATAGGCACAAGGGATCTACTTTCACTGTCAAATTGCCTTAGACGATACATAAAGGGAGTAAAGTATCTACGTTCAATTAATAAATACAAAATTGGAGTTTATTTTGAAAAACCAAATTTGGCTAATGCTTTATTAAATAATAAAACTTTTCTTCATGATAATAATTTAAAAGCAAACATTCCAGCTTCAGCAGCAGAAATCACCGGAATAATAAGAAACGTCTCTACTAAATATAGCAATAAGAAAATTTTTACATTAATTTCAAGCTTCAAAAAAATTATAAGCGTAAGACGTTTCTTTAAAAAAGTGTTTAATGATGGTTCTGGTTTTTCCCTTCAGCCAACACAGACAGTTGCAATCACTTTTGCTGCTTCTCATCTGCCTGACTTCGTTGATTTGGATGGATGGAGGCATAGTATCACAACATATATACCACCAGTTAAACAATGCTACAGGTGTTTGAGGTATGGTCACATTTCAAAGTATTGCAAAAATGCAGAAAAGTGTTCAATCTGTAACAATAATCATAACTATAAAGAGTGTACAGTACCTAAAGAAAAGGCCATTTGTGCCCACTGTAATGGGAATCATATTAGTATTTCATCACAATGCCCAGTAAAACAACAGAAAATTAAAGAAAACAGAAATAAACATCAGCCGCCTACATTTGCAAGTATATTTAACAATAATAATTTTCCTGAAATTAAGACTACTCACACTAATGTCAAAAACAATGATCCCCAAAACTTATTAACTATTTTAAATTCAAATTCACTATCAATGGAAATACTCATGGAAACAATAATTAAATTAATAACTTTAAATAAAACTAAAAGCACAGCAATTTCCTCAAAAAATATATTGGAAGTACTAACTGAAACTCTTTGCAACAAAAGCAAATCTAATCAAAATTCACTCAGCTAAGGTTGATGCAATGGAATGCACAAAGTCTTTCATGCAATCGGCATTTGCTTACAAAGTTCAATTATGACAACTATATTGATATAGCTGTCATATCCGAGACATGGTTAAAACCACATATACATTTCAAAATTAAAGGTTATACAGTGGAACGTAATGATTGTGGCAACAAACACAATGGAGTTGCCATCATCATTAGCAATAGACTATATTATAATAGATTAAGTACACACTCTGATGATTCAATACAAAACCTAGCAGTGCAAGTTAAAATAAACAATAAACTATTAACTATTGTCTCTATATATTGTCCAAGTAATAGCACACCTAGATTTAACATAAGTAAGTTCACTAACCTCATAAATGAATTACCTAAGCCAATGTATATTTCTGGTGACTTCAATGCTCACCATACCATTTGGGGTTGCCACATGGTGGATGCTCGAGGCAGAGATTTATTAGATAGTTTAGATAATTGTGACTTGGTCTTATTAAATGATGCACAAGCAACTACTGTTGGCACTGACACTTGGAGACCAAATGGTTTAGATCTCACAATGGTGAGTCCTGTTATAGCATTGAACTGTGACTGGTTTGTTAATGATGACCCTCTAGGAAGTTACCACTTACCTACGTTAACTCATATTCATATTAGTATAAACCCTTCAACGGCTGCCACCACAAATCTTATGTCAACCCCACAAAATTTTGAAATGCACAAACTCCCTTCTCATGTTAACTTCCGTTTAGTCAATTGGGAAGATTACACGCAATTAGCAAACGAAACTTTAAAAAGTCTTTCTGTTTGTTCTAGCGATCCTTTATTTTCTTACAATAGTTTCTGTAATAAAATAACATCAGCTTTACATAAATCAGTTCCTAAAATCAATCATCAAAATCATAGAATTCACGTTGACGTTGACAATGACAGTGACAATCCAGGTGTTTCTAGGAATAAACGTTTTGTTTTTCCTAATCCCCATACTCGAAAAAGGAAACATTTCGCTGTCCCTTGGTGGAATGAAAAGTGTAATAAAGCTGTACAAAATAGTAAGGAAGCTTATATTAAATTTAAAAACAACCCATTGCAGGAAAATTATGTCAACTTTAAAAAAATGCAAGCACAGAAAAAAATCATTATAAAAAAAGAAAGGACTACTAGTTGGAAGGAATTCTGTTCTGATATAAATAGATCATCTCCTCTATCTAAAATTTGGCAAACTATGCGTAAATTTAACCGGAGCTTTATTCCTCAAATTGAAGAAGAAATTCCATCTTGGGTAAACGACTTTTTACGAAAATACACACCTGATTTTGTAGAAGCTGCACCTTTTCCTTCAGATTTGCGATTGAACTCTTATTCCTGCGAAATCACTAATAGTACGAATGATTACCTAACTTCACCTTTCACTTTGTCTGAATTAACTGCTGCAATAAAACTTAGGAAAGATACAGCTTGTGGTCTAGATTTTATATCATACAAAATGTTAAAAAAGTTAAATTGTAATAGTATCAAAAAACTCTTAGCCATATTTAACGGCCTTTGGGAAAATAGTTTAATTCCTGATAACTGGAAGATAGATTGTTTGATTCCTGTCATTAAACCAAATAAACCCAAGGCTTGTGCTGACTCATATCGCCCTATAACTTTAACTTCTTGCATTGGTAAAATATTCGAGCAATTATTGAAACACCGACTTGAATTTTATATAGAAAGTAATCATTTACTACCAAATAACCAGTTTGGATTCAGACGTGGTCGATCTGCCCGTGAAAGTATAGGATGTCTTCATACTGACATACAAAATGCACTAAAAGATAACAATATAACGGTGTGTATATTCCTGGACATAGTTGGTGCCTTTAATAACGTTAATTTATCTGTTCTGTCAACCACACTATTTAGATTAGGTATTCCATATAAGATGGTTAAATGGTTATTCAGCTTTCTTAATGGACGACAAGTTTACGTAAAAATCAATAATAATTTACATGGCCCTCGACTTTCCCACAAAGGAGTTTGTCAAGGTGGAATTCTAAGCCCTTCATTGTATATATTGTATATTCATAGATTAAATGAAATACTCGGGCGAGATTTTACAATTTTGAATTTGCAGTTCGCTGATGACTTAGTTATTTATGCAAAGGATTCTAAACTTTCGTCATTGGAACCCAAACTAAACAATGTCCTTTCACAATTGTATTCTCATTTTAGCTACCTAAATTTAGATGTTAATACAAGTAAAAGTAATGTGGTTGTTTTTAGGAAAAGATTTGTAAACGTGTCTAACTTAAAATTACTCTATAACGGTCAAACTTTACCCGTATTGAAATCAACAAAATTTTTAGGGGTTATTTTTGAACAAAACCTATCGTGGAAAGCTTATGTCGATTGTTTGATAGACCGTTCTATGAGGGCTACCAACGTTTTAAGATCCCTTGTTGGTTACCAGTGGGGCGCCGATCCTAAAATTTTGCTTCTGTTGTATAAAACTTTAGTCAGAAGTCATTTCGAATATGCTTTTTTTTGTTTTGCGTCTGACAAAAAATTAACAGACAGACTAGAAAAAATACAAAATAAAAATCTAAGAATTATTTTAGGTGCTATGAATACCTCACCAATAAATTCTATGCAAATAGAATGTAATTTGCCCCCTTTACATATACGTTTTGAATTTCTCAATTGTAAATTTTTATTAAAAGTGATGTCTATAGAAAATAGTTTACTTAGAAATAAACTTAGTGCATATAATACCAATTCCTTTTTACATAATGGTGTAAATAACATTTCGAGAATTATAGATGATAATAATGTATATATTAGTGATAGGTTGCCTTGTTATAAAGGTGTGTATAAAAGTAAATTTCAGGAAATAAATATAGTAATAAATAGTGATCTTTCTTGTAAATATGATGTTTATAACGAGTTAAATTTATGGGCTGAATATAGACAGTTGTACACCGATGGATCGAGGAATAACAAAAATGTTTCCATGGCGTTTTATGATTTGTACACAAAAATTGGCCATGGCTTGAAATTACCAAGTCAAAGTAGCGTTTATACAGCGGAAGCAACAGCTATATTAGCAGCTTTAGAATATATTTCAAAATCTAACCATAGTAAATGGATCATAATAACAGATAGCATGAGTATACTTCAAGCCTTATCAAACCCAGCGTTTTCTTCAAAATCCAATTACACTATACACGAGATCAGAGAAAAATATTGTCAACTTACAACAAACGGAAAAGACATCATTTTGTTTTGGACTCCATCACATATAGGCGTTTACGGTAATGAAGAAGTAGATACACTGGCAAAGATTATAACTAACACGGCTGAGAATGTCCCTGTGAAAAACATAAAGATTCCTGATTCTGATTGTGTAGAAATTCTAAAAGACAAAATAAAGAAGACATGGTTAGATCATTGGCATGAAACTTTACAAACTAAAGGTGTTTGGTATCATAATATTAATGATACAATCAGAAAGCCGTGGTTTGCTCAGAGAAATTTTATTCACCGAAAATTTTACACTACAATATGTAGACTGCGACTCGGACATGGACGCTTTAACGAACATTTATTCAGAATGAACATGGTCTCCTCCCCATCATGCTCGTTCTGCAGCTTCTCAAGTCAGTCACTTCATCATTTGTTCCTCGAATGCCCTCATTTTGCTCTTCAACGAATATTTCTCAGTAATAGTTTGCTTGAAATCTACAATTCAGCCGAGAACATCCCGCGTTCCTTACCTGTACTTCTCCAAAACCCACAATGTTATTTGGCACTGTATAATTACATCAAGAGTACTATAGAAGATATTTAAACTTGGATTTCGAATTATTCCTTATGAAGACTTGAAGAAAAGAACTTTTAGTCTTGGCTGTATGGCGCATTTTGTCGTCTTTGCCTTTTCCGTTTAATGAACGGAAAGAACAGAACCAAAAAAAAAAAAAAAGCAAGGAAGGCTAACCATAGAATACTTACATTTATTTAGAGGTTATGTATGAAAATGTTTTCGTGAGGAAAAACAAGAATTTGTCATAGCGGCACTATATTTGTAAAGTATTTAAATAAAATTCAAGTGCGTTGTAGATTGCTATTAGTGAAAGTCCGAATTTTTTTTATTATTAAGCTAATGAAATACTACTTTACTTTCAACTGAGTTTCGGCCAACCTATAATGTGTTCTCTACTAGAAGTTCTAGTCACATGTGACTCTAATAATACACTCTGGACTTCAAGCATTTGGGACCCTCACACCGGTACCAATCTTATGACTTATAAAGGTGGAGGAACAGCTGAAACAAAAACTTTATCATTCATTGGTAATGACTACGTAGCAGCTGCAGAAAGAACAAAACCTATACTACACGTTTGGCCTGTAAATTCTCAACAAACTGTGCAAGGAATGCGATTCATTTTGCCAGGAAAAGCTGGTGCTGTATCTGTCACTTCAGATGGATCATTTTTAGCAGCAGGCATTGATGAAAAGATTTATTTATGGCAAATATCTTCTGGCAGTTTGCTAACAATAATAAACCGACATTATCAAAAGATTGTGTTATTAAAATTCACTTCAGATGGAAAATTTTTCATTTCTGCTGCTGAAGATGGCATGGTCATGGTGTGGTCTCTTGCTACAGTGGCTACACATCCTGAGGTGGATCTTGTCACACAGACTACGGCAGGGCAACACGATCCTGTCTATATTTTTTCTGATCACTCTCTACCTGTGACCGATCTCTGTGTTAGTAAAATAGGCATGCATGGCCGACTTGCAACTATATCCAGTGATCGAACATGTAAGATCTATGACCTATCCAGTGGAGAAATGTTATTAAACATAGTTTTTGATGTGCCTCTATCAGCAATAACGATGGATGTATTGGAACTCAACTTATTTATTGGAACCACTGAAGGTAAAATACACCAGTTCAATCTTGCAAGTCCTCCAAGGACTAGAGATTTTCTATTGAACACTGATGCAAACACACCTATATTTGAAGCTCATACAAAAACTGTGACCTGTTTATCGGTATCAGTGGATGGTGAAACCTTGATGTCTGGTTCGAGTGATGAACAAATTATTCTCTGGCACATACCTAGTAAACAAGCAGTGAGAACTATCAGACATAAAGGACCTATTACCAATGCTTTCTTCACCACAAATTTTCCTGCAATATATAAACAAAATTTTTCACCCAATATTATTCTGCATAGTTTAGAAAGAAATTTAGACAAAGAAGAAGAGGATATCAATGTCATTGAATTATTGGTCAACAAAAAGGTTGATTTCTGGCCTGAACGTAGAGAAGATTTGGATGAATCTTATCTTCCCTCCAAAGAGCTGGAGAATGAGTATAAATTGAAACATATGGCTTTGGAAGAAGAATTAATTAAAATGAAAAAAATTAATGCCAATTTGTATGCTTTTAGTGTGAAAAAGGCTCTTGTTTCTAGTGATAATAATAACAAAAGGAAGAAGAAAAAGAAGACTGCTTTTTAATAAACACTAAACTGTTGTTACTATGTTTTTTTATAGTGTATCCCCTAAATACTTGTGTATACCTACTTTAAAATTTATACATTTCAAATACCATCCACCACCAGCATGCTTATGATTGACAATCTTTCTCTGAGAGCTGAAGCGAATGGATTTTTATTTCTAAATGATCTATAGTGGCCAGTAGATACTGTCATGCATGATTTGTGGCTATACTGTACTTTATGCTATTTAAAGCTAAATAACTCCCATAAATAGAATTCACAATCTGAAACAAAGTTAGATAAGTTAAAATGTGTGGCTGTCTGTATATTGGGTGCAGTTGGGAGGTGTTTTAGAAAAAAGCTACGAGATTGTTTTTCCATTTGCACCCCCCACCCCCTCTGGAATTACGATATATATACGCACCCTGACACAAACACGCATTTAACTTCTGTTTTAATATAAAATTAGGATTAAGATTAAAATTATTGTAGCAAAAATTGTTTTCTGGAGGTGGGCGTTAATAACTGCGACACAGTTTTATAACTAACTAGCGGCCCGCCCTCGCTTCGCTTCGGTGTAGACCTGAAGCGTAGACTACAGTTTTTGTTCTCAGGCTTGTTTTATACACAATGACATTCATCTATGATTATTCTTATACCTGCATGCAAAGTCTCAGCCCGTTCGGTTTTAAAATTGACAAAGTTTCATACAAACTTTCATTCCCTATTTTATCCCCTTCGGGGTAGAATTGATCAAAATCCTTTCTTAGCGGATGCCTACGTCATAACATCTACCTGCATGCCAAATTTCAGCCCGATCCGTCCAGTGGTTTGGGCTGGGCGTTGATAGATTACTGCGTCAGTCAGTCACCTTTGAGTTTTATATATATAGATTATAAAAAAACTGAAGATGGTATATTTATCTTTTCCAAACTTCTATTGACATCACGTCGCTCAATTGTTTTGCTTTCCCAGAATCTCTCCACTAACATTTGAAATTTATGGTATGGTATTAAAGTTCAAATTGACTTTTAAGTATTATTACGAATCGTTTGTATGGGAGTAAAGAAAAGTTTTATTTTTGACATTTTCAGGCATTTTTTAAAATTTTTCTCTTCGTAAGAACCATCCTCGTATTTCAAGGAATATTCTAAAAAAAAATCAGCCAAATCGGTCAAGCCGTTTTCATGTTATGTCGTGACAACGGAAAACGGGTTTCATTTTTATATATATAGATGCAGATAGTATCCATCACTATTGTCATTGTATCTTGGGCGGTGGCGGTTGATATGGTTTTAAAATAAATATTTCATTTCATACGATACGCCAGTTTGCGATTCAACTAAGAATAGGACCGACTGGGCGCCATATTGTGATGTCATAGCTGTACAATATTAATAAAAGATGTGTTTGATTTAATTTGGTATTTTATTAAGAAGCACACGTTTTATGGTGATACAAAAATATGCTGCAACCAAGTGCCAGTGTTGTCAACAACAAATATAACCTTACAGATTGTTTCCCAAACACTTATAAATAACATAAATACTTTACACAAAGAGACACAATTTATTCATGAACAAAATCTTTAAATCTCAACGGTGTCCTAACTACACGACCAGATTTTGTGGTCACCCTCCTATTATTAGTTTGCATTTGCATGTTTTGCACTTGCATTGTAACATTATCATTTAGATTATTAGAACTAGTACTCTGAACCAAACTTGTGTTTTTACTACAGCTGTCATTACTATTATTACGAAAAAACAATGGATTTGGTTTGATAACTAAATCATTTTTACTAGGATTTAGAAATTTAGAATTTCTTATTAAAGTTTTGTTGTGTTCATTTTTTACAACATAGGATCTCGGGTTGTCACATTTATTGATAATTTTTCCTTGTTCCCACAATTTACTCTTATAATTTTGCACTCTAACATTTTCTCCTACTTGAAATTCTTTTTTATTCTTACATGTTTTGTTATAATTTTTCTGTGACTTCTCCTTTATTCTTAAAAAACTTTCCTTTAAATTAACAGGTAACTTTGGTTTTAACAACTCTGTTTTACATGGTAACATAGTTCTAAGGTTTCTATTCATCAGCAATTCTGCCGGACTATACTCTAAATTGCTAATTGGTGTTGTTCTATAATTTAATAAGGCAAGATAGAAATCTGAACCCATTTCTAAACATTTCTTCATAATATTCTTTATGATGCCCACTGCTTTTTCAGCCAAACCATTACTTTGCGGATAGTGTGGGCTTGAAAAAACCAACTCAATATCAAGCTCATTTGCAAAGTTTTTAAAGTAACAACTATTAAATGGCATATTATCACTGACAATACATTTTGGAATGCCATGAGTGGCAAAAATTACCTTCAACTTATTAACAACAGAACTTGCAGTTTTATCCTTTAACTTTAGTACCTCTATCCATTTTGAATAGTAATCAACTACTATTAAATAGTCTTTGCCATTAAAGAAACAGATATCCATACCTAACTTTAAAAATGGAAGATTAGGAACCTCATGACAAAGGAGTGGTTCTTTACAATTATTAACTCTAAATTTTTCACACACTTTACAATAAAGAACAAAATTTTCCACATCTTGCGACATTCCTACCCAAAACAATGATTGTCTAATACGCTTTTTACATTTCACTACACCTAAATGTCCCTTGTGCACAATAGCCAACATATCTTTTCTTAAAGTGTTGGGAACCACTATCCTATTTTTGTAATACAAAATATCATCTTTTACACTAATGAAGTCTTTTAACTTATATAAAACTTTTAACTCTTTTACACTTATATTTTTATCATTTTTTGGCCATTCTGTTTTATACCAACTTATACACTGCTTTAACACATTATCATTATTTGTCTCATTTTTTAACTGTAACAATCTCCTATCTGACACTGACAAATCATTTTCACAACTATGCACAGTTTCCGTTTCAACACTATGAATTAATTCTTTCAAACTATGATCTATTTCTGCATTATCTTTGATATAATTTCTAGACAAAAAATCTGCTATATACATTTTACTTCCAGGTACATATTTAACATCAATATCATATTTTAGTAACTTTAGTACCATTCTCTGTAACCTAGAACTTATTTTATTAATATCTTTGTTAACAATCCCAACCAAAGGTTTATGATCTGTTTCTATGATAATTTTTCTACCATAGACAAACTGATGATATTTTTCTAAAGCAGCGCACATGGCAAATAACTCCTTTTCTATTGGAGCCCATCTTTTTTGGCAATCTGTGTAACTTCTGGAATAAAATGAGACAGGTTTACCCTTTTGCAGTAGGCAAGCCCCTAGAGCATCCTTTGAACTATCAGTTTGTAGTACAACTGCACCATCCTTTACCAAAATTCCTAATGTTGGTGCACACGTTAACCTATTTTTTAATTCACAAAATGCTTTTGCTTGTTCAAGACTCCAGACCCACTCAACATCCTTTTTAAGTAAACAACGAAGTGGTTCTGTTATTTTGGAGTACTCCGGTATAAACTTACTTACATAATTTGTCATACCTAAAAACTTTTGCAACTCTTTTATATTCTTAGGTGCTGTTAGTTTGGTGATAGATTTTATATGCTCTGGATCTACTTGTATACCTGACTTAGATACAATTAATCCTACATATTTTACATAACTTGACTTATACTGTATTTTATTTTCATTAAACTTTAGATTGTATTTTCTTGCTCTATCTATGACTTTCTGTAAGATTTTATCATGTTCTTCATTTTTACTGCCTATAATCACATCATCATAATATACATGAACACCTTCTATGTTATCAAATATTTGTGAATTAATTTTTTGCATTATCTCTGGTGCAGAAGATATTCCAAATGGAAGCCTTAAAAACGATACCTGCCATATGGTGTGCCAAAACTGCAGCATTTGTCAGGATCATCCAGATTTATCTGAAAAAATCCATCTTTTAAGTCTAGTACTGTAAAAACTTCATTCCCTGATAAACTGTTATAAATTTCCTCTGCTGATGGTATTTGGTATCTTTCCCGCTTAATACATTTATTAAGTTCCTTAGGATCTAAACATAGCCTTAATGAGCCATCTGGCTTTTCTACTATAACCAAATTATTTAACCATTCCGTGGGACTTTCTACTTTTTCAATGACTCCTAAGCTTTCATATCTACCTAAAGTGTCTTTTAACCTACCCTTAACTTTTTCAGGAATTCTTCGAATGGGTTTTACAACAGGCTCTGCGTTATCTGTCAATTTTATTTTATAAGAACCAATATTTCCTAACCCTGTAAAAACATCCTTATTTTTATTGATAAACAACTGTTTTTCTTTATTATCTCTTTTATAACAATGAAGCGTATCTACTTTCCTTATTAAATTTAAACGAACACATTCATTTAACCCTAAAATTGGCTGTACTGGTAAATCTACAACAGTAAAGTTAATTTTAGTTTCATGATTTCTAACTGAACAGCTGAGTTCAATTTCCCCTGACGGTTTAATTTTTTGTCCATTATATACTACCAAGAGTTTATAGCTATTTTGTAAAAATTTACTACTAATTATTCTATTACACAAAGATAGCGGTAAAATATTGCATTCAGCTCCTGTGTCCAGTTTAAAAGAGACTACCTCCCCCTGTACATCAATATTTTCTGTCCACTGGTTATTTTTTTCACTTAATAATGCATTAACCTTGTCAATCTCGTACCTGAACACAACGTCATCATCTTCACTTTCTTCTCTTTCTTCTATAGTCATCACCTTTCTTGCCTGACGAGAATCCTTCTTACTTCTACATTGTGCTGCAAAATGATTGTACTTTCCACAACTAGCACACTTTTTTCCATAAGCGGGACATGCTCTTATTGCATGTTCTCTTCCACACCTGTTACATTTATACATTTTTTGAATCAGAGAGTTAGGTTCTTTCTTTATTACTAGCACAGCATTTTCATTAGTCTCCATTTTATCCATTTGTTGTTTTCCTTTTTCTATTTGTCTTGCTATATTTATTGCCTTGTCCAAATTTAAATCCACTTCTTGTAGAAGACATTATTTAACTTGTTTTTCTCTGATACCTATCAAGATCATCATTGTTATGAGTCTGTCCTGCACATTCTCCAACTCACAGGCCGCTGCCCCCACTTTCAATCTTGTTACAAAGTGATCTACAGTCTCCTCTTCATATTGTCTTATTTTGAGAAACTCATACGTGTTTAACATCAAACTTTTCCTAGGTTCCACATAATTTCGAAACTTATCTACAAGACTTTGTAAGGTTTCATCTTCTTGTTTCGGAAACGTATTATAAACCTCCACCGCTTCCTCTCCAGCGCCATTTAGAAATATTGCAATTTTTCTTTTTTCACTGCACGTTTCCAGTCCTGATGCACTGATGTATATTTGGAAAAGTTGAACAAACTTTCCAAAATTTTGATTTGGGCCCGAAAGTACAAGGCCTCTTGGTGGCTTTAGGCCCTCCATGTTTGGATTAAAAAAAAAATATTATTCTTATTCGACACTCAGTCACTTTAAAAATTGACACACAGTCACTTTAATTGTTTTTAGGTTCTTCTTCACCTGACACCATGTACAATATTAATAAAAGATGTGTTTGATTTAATTTGGTATTTTATTATGAAGCACACGTTTTATGGTGATACAAAAATATGCTGCAACCAAGTGCCAGTGTTGTCAACAACAAATATAAATTTTGGGATACCATTATTATAACCATATGTCACAATAGCTGTCAATTCAAACCAAATAGGTAGAGTGAGCAAAAAAAAGATTTTATTTAATAAAACTTATTTACTAAGATTAATTATCAATATTTGTTTGTTTACAAATGTTCGGTTTTTATTCTTGAATTAGCAGAGTGCTAAAAAAGGGTTCCAAGTTTATTTTTGCAAACCGTACTTTTCAAGTGACATTTGAGAGATAGAGGTCATTGGCTTTCATATTCTTATTTGAATCGCATTATAATGAATGTGTTTCTGTGGCTTCTGCCGCCCCATAACATTTTATTATGGTTTTTTAATAATAAAATTAATTTAAGGCACGATCGACAAATCATAATCTTGGTTTTACTGCGATTTATTTTCAGGCCAAAATCACGACTAACTAGCTCCATTTTGCTTAACAGAGATTCCATGTTACTGGCGCTTGTTTGATTTGATTACTAAGGTTTACCTATTCTTAATGGCGGAAAACCCACTCAAAATGCAAATATATAA